ATCATATCTTAATTATCATATAGATCCCAAGGTTTTACAATATGCTATAGTGATCTTGTCTCCAATAGACATCGAAAAATCCTAAAATTAATGGTTTTGTGATAGACTGCCTCTGTCTAACCCATACTGGTCTCAGATTATCTCTTGTCCTAATTCAGTCTTCCAAGTGTAAGGATAAAAGGTTGTACAGCATACTTGGCTCTACAAATGTCAAATTCTAATAGAAATGTGTGAAAATAGATGTAAATACTATGTGAGATGTATCAAATTATATTAGTATCAAATAGCTCCTTACACTCTAACGTTCTCAGTATTTTCTATTTTGCATAATTTTAAGTGGGTTAGCAATTTAATCATAGCTTTGTTGAAATATATATTTATTCTTTGACTTTATATTATTTATCAACATTTTAAAATTGGACAGGCTTTGACACTTCAATACATGTATACAGATAAGTATAATAATATTTACTCAGAAACATTTATCATTTCTCTGTGGAAAATTTCAAACTCCTTCTAGCTTTTTTAATTTTATAAATTTTAAAAAAATTATTCTTAAGTTTTTATTATTTACATATATTATATTCTGACTGCAGTTTTCTTACCTGCATTCCTCTCATCACCCCTTACCTCCCCTCTCCTATAGATAGACTCTTCCTCTGTCTCCCACCCACTTCCACTCCCAGGGATAGCAAATAAACATTGCACGACAAATTACAATAAGCCTAGTAAGACTAGGCATAATCCTTCATATCAAGGCTGGATGAGTTGATTCAGTAGAAAGAAAAAGGTTTCAAGCTCAAGCAAAAGCATCAGAGACCTCTCACTCCCACACTTAAGTGTCCCATAAGAACATCAAGCTATATGACCATAACAGTTATGCAATTGACCTAGCTCAGACCTATATAGGGTTCCTTGATTGTCACTTCAGTTTCTGTGAGTCCCTATGATCCCTGTGGCTCATAGTTCATTTTGTGGGTAATGTTCTTATGGTGTCATTAACTCCTCTGGTTCCTAGAATTCTTTTTCCCCATCTTCTGTAGGGTTCTCCTAGCTTTGCCTATATTTGGCTATGAATCTTTCCATCTTTTCATGTCAGTTGCCTCTCTCATGACAATTAGTATAGGCACCTATTAATAAGTATAGCAGAATATCAATAGAAATTAATTCATTTCTTCTTTTTCTTTTTCTTCTTCTTCTTCTTCTTCTTCTTCTTCTTCTTCTTCTTCTTCTTCTCCTTCTCTGCTTCTTCTTCTTCTTCTTCTCCTTTCCCTTCTTCTTCCTCCTCCTTCTCCTCCTCCTCCTCTTCCACTTCTTTGTCAATTGTAGTTTATTCTATCCTTGGTCTCTGAGCTGTCCAACCTATGGTTCCTGGCTATTAAGGCAGTGTCTGGCATGGGCTCCCTCTTTTGGTATGAGCCTCAAGTTAGACCATTCATTCGTTGGCTCTTACAAACTGTATGTCAAAGGCTTTGTGGCTGGTTGTTGTCCCAGCCACAATCACTGTGATTGGAACATTCCCTGGATACATAATATGGGAGGTTTCTCTTTCCCATACTAGGAGACTTCACTAAGCTCACTCTTGTAGACTGAAGAAAGTTTCTACTGCACTAGGTTTCTATATTGACTCCCCCCAGCCCAACCACTACCAAAAACAGTTGCTGCTCAATTCCAGTTGTCTCTCCCATTACTCTTCTCCTTTTTCTGCCCCTGCCTGGACCCTTCTGTTCTAACCCCCACCCACCTACAGTCCATCTGAAAAAAATCTCTTCTATTTTCTCTTTTTCCTTCTAGCTTTTTTTTTGAAATATACACTATATAGTTGTTGTCTGTACTTACCTAACTATGAAATAGAAGTCTGAAATTTATCTATCCCATCTAAGTAAATGTGCTGCATATATATATATATATATATATATATATATATATATATATAATCACTGTAAGCAAATGCTTGTGTTCCATTTAATACATATGTAGAATATACATGTGAGGGTATACATATGTGTGTATATATGTTCATGTAGTTACTATAGAGGAGTTTGACTATAGATATTATAAAATATATTTTCCCTTCAGGCAATCAGAAACTTACACTATTTTCTATGAATGAATACATACCTTCTTGATTTTCAGTTCTAAGCTACATACTAAGATGAATTTGACAAGCTCTAATCATTCTAAAATTCAAGTATCAACTGAGATTATAAAAAATAAGATAAATAATTAAGATTGAGATGAAAGTTAAAGCAGATTAATGTTAAACTGTTAGAGTATCAAGCAAGTACAGAAGTCTTAGGATTAACTACACTTTTCTCTCCAAAGACAGTGCTCCATTCTTTAGCAATTTTCAAAAATGTTAATATGTGAAGTAAGTTTTTATTGTGAGCATTCTTCCAGGAAAGTTAACATTACAAAAGGAAAGATTTTGAAGATACACTCAAAACTATCTTGACAACAGCTGTCAGAAAGCCTGGACAGCTGTTAGAGTTTATTGTATTCATTAAAAACTGTCTGCTTCAGTGGGTTAGGTTCTGAGCTAGGACCTTCATGTAAAGAAGCTCCAGCTGATAACCACTGGCTCAGAACTCCAAGGCTTCACTGTTGGTTTTTTTCCTGAATAAGTCATTAAAACAAACTCTAAATTTATCCTACTCCTGCTTTTCAAAGGGGAAAGTTCATCTTAGATTCTCAGTCTGTACTAATGAAGAACTAGCTATTGTTTTTAAATTCACAAAGTTAATTCTCTTGTGAACATGGAGGTGTTTTCTGAACAGATCTATGTTGTGTTAAATAGCAAGCGAAATTGAGATGACTTGGCAAATCACAGCTACAGAATCAACAGAGCTTGCAAATTTATTGATATGCAGTGAGTTCTGATATTGTGGAGACATATAGGTATGCCCATCAATATGACACAATTACAGCAGCAAGAAACATGATCTGAAGCAATTCCTAATTCCTACTTCGTAAAGACTCTGTTGTTTTCTTCCTTAAGAATATTAATATGCCCTAAAGTGTAGCTTTCTATAAGCAAAACATTATTGATGAAGACTATAAATAAAATGAGCCCTTGACATCACAGGATTTACCAAGCCCCACTTTCATAGTGAATGGAACATAATCTACAGTTCTATGTTCCTGAAGGTCTGTGGTCCTGTAGGTTTCTTTCTTTATACTGGGAAAGAGACAATAAATCTGCACCATTTTACTAGCATTTCAAACTTTTGTAACTCTTATAGATTCTTTTTTTTGTTTTGTAAAGGAAATTCCATTAGGTAGAGGTTCCTGAACTCTATGTACAGATATAAAACAAATACATACCTGGGTAGGGGATGGGTACATTTACATTACCAATTAGCATATTCTTCATTCCTTGTACCACACACTATTCTAGATAAAAAGCGATATATTCGATAACGTCTTCTGAATCTTGAACCGGAGGAAGACTTAAAATATGTAACTGCAGAATGCAGTCTGATGTTAAGTTCTTGTGATTATGAGTATGGAAATCTTCTTTGAAATCAATTTAAATGCCTAGAGAAGTTTTAACTTGCTATTATATTTTAACACAGATTAATATTAATCTTTATTTATTTGAGGACTTTTAAGAACAAACATAGTACTATAAATAGTAGAACTATATTAATATCTTCCATGAGTGAAATTTAAAAAAAAATTGAGACTCAATATTAGTTGTAGACTTTTTAAATCTGACTTTAACCAAAACTTTTATCTTACCTTCTTGTTTTCTGAAGAGATGTCAACCAAAACTTTATTAGAGTTATTAAAGTTTTTATTAAAGGGAAACTTTTAGTAATACAAAATTTATGACAGGCTTATCTCTGAAATTTTATGGACTCTTTAGAAAAGGTTATCCACCCACACTCAATATACTATCAGGAGGATAATAAAATGAGTTTATGGTATGCTTTGGTGCATGGGACTTTGGGTCTGCTCTCAAATTGAAATGGTATGAAAGTAAATGGTACACCATGCCCTTGCCTACTGTCTTCTGTCTCTTAGAATTTTCTGAGTGCCAGGAAAATACCTTACTGGGTTTTGTTTTCCTAAAGCTTCTTGGCTTCTTACCAGCAGGTTTTTACAGTCTGTTGCTTGCCTCTTAGATTAGAAGAATGCTGGCATATTTTAACAGTTTCCTAGGATTCAAACAGTCTTTAATTAACAGAAAATTGATGTTTTGGAATATTATCAAAATATGGGAGACAGAACACCAAGGCTATGCTTCCGTCCATGCTGCTTCTAAATGCACTTAGTGTGAAAACAGGGACCAGATCTGTGTGGTCCGTGTAACCAGCTGCCTGCCCACTGGTGTGCAGAGGGGGATCTGTGTTGGTGTAATACTCTCATTGCCTGCTCATTGGCGCTGGTCTAAATTCCTCCCACTCATGGAAGGTGGAGACACTCAGTTGTTGAATTGTCAGAGCTCCAGGACGCTGAACAGCTCAGTGAAGGTTTGCTGGCTTTTTAAATCTTCTTACTGCCAGGGCATTGAGGTACCACTGCTGGTTCAGTTTCTTTTCAGTGCCAGATTCATGTCATTATTCTGTCTGTTTTCCGTTGGTGAAAAGAGCAGTACTGGACAATAACCCTCAGACTTGCAGCATGTTCTGAGCAGGTTAGTTTTCAGAGAGGAACGGGAGGGCAGTAAGAGAGTTTATTAGCAGTTTTCCCTTGGAATCCAGAGAGCTTGGTTAGAGGTGAATGGCTGGCTGTTCCAGGAAAAACAAAAGCAAATGGTGGAGTGTGAAATAGTGAGTGACTCTTACATAATCATATAGTTACAATCTCAGGGAAAGGAGCTGCTCACTTACCTCTGGCTGCCCGACTGGCTAAATTCTGGCTGATGTGAGGAGATTCTGTGTCTTGTTTTCTTTTTTTCCAGTGAAGCAGAAGGTTGTTTTCCCTTAAAAGATCATGATATTTTCTGTTTCGTGCCTGGTGTCCCTGATCATCCCCTTTTGCTTTTGTCTCTACAGGTGGCACATGCCAGAGTCCTGCCCTCCCAGCCCTGATCCGTCCGCCAGCCCCTCCTCTGCAGCCATCATTGGATATTAAGCCTTTTCTTCCCTTTCCTCTCGACACTGCGGCAGCAGTCAACCTATTTCCCAACTTTAATGCGGTGAGTGCCAAATCTAAAGTTTCACCTGTCTGTGATGAATGATAAGGCATAAAGCATTAGGGGGTGGAGTGTGAGAGTCAGTTACTGCTTCTGTCTTGAAAGATTGTTTATCCCACATGTTTCTGTGTGTCACGGTGAAGTTGAGTGTCCAACTATAAAAATAATGTCCAAGGAGCCAGGCACCTGGTGTAGAGAGTGGTGAAAGAGAATTCATTGATTGATTACCAGTTAATGTCATCTGTGAGAATTTTTTAAAAATTTTTTTTGGAACTTGACCAATTGAAATTGAACTGATTTATTATGAAGTATAAAACTTGAAGTTCAATGTGGCTTTCTTACATGTGAGTCTTTCAAAATGCTTCAAATCTATGATTCTTTCCTATTGCAATAATTAGAACCATGAAAGTAGACAGAACTGAAGATGGAGTTCCCAAATCATTCATTTTCCATCTCTCTCTAACTTCTGTTCAATGAAGTGGTTGTGTGTGTGTGTGTGTGTGTGTGTGTGTGTGTGTGTGTGTAATAGCTGGGATGTCACAATGAAGAGACCACTGCTGTAGTGGGGTCAGCAGTGCCTCATATTTGACCTAGTACCTTGTTCAGAGGTTAAGCTCTTTGTGTGTAGCAGCTCTAAGGTTGGGTAGGACAGTAGGACTAGTTTGTATATTGTAAAATTATACCATTTCTAGAGCCTTCACTCAACTGCTAACTTTGGAGATCTCCCTTTCCTGTAAAATCAGAGACCTAGTTTCCTCTAAGCTCAGGGACCCCTACCTCTGAAGTCTATAAAACCAAGAAATTTTTTTTGTTCTGTTTGTTGCTGTTGGATCTCCTAGCCAGACTTCTCATCTGTAGGGTTCTAGGTCTTGTGTCCACTCTGCCTCAGGGCTCAGTCACTAGAGAGGCAGGATACGGGAATTTTACCAAGCTGTCGCCTCAGTGTAAGTAGGGAATCCTCAGGACACCACTCAGGGGCGTGACGCGCTGGCCCAGGCAGTCTGGTTCTCAGGCTTTTGGACACCCAGGCACCTCTGGAAGCTGAAAAGGTGAGGGGACCTGCAGGCTGGATGTAGCCCAGGAGGGTTGGGGGAGAAGGAGAGTTCCTACTGGGAGAGTCCTTGGATTGGCTTGGCTTGGGCTTGGTGGAGGCCATGGCTGAAAGCACAGAGAGGCCTTCTCTGGGAGATTAGATGGAGGCTCTATAGGTGAAGGAATTCTACACAGCTCCCCATGGTGGATCCCAATGAGAAGAGGCTGTTCACGGTTTTAAGCCACAAATCTATGGAGGGCTGTGGCTAGTGACAGGGGCCTGGTGCCCGGGAACAGGTAAACAACCTACTGTCCTTTCAAGGTCTCCAGGGTTTCTAGCCTTAGTTCAATCGGGGACCAAGATGCCTTTTACGACCCCACACTATCTATGAATGATAAATGTTTATAAATCTGAAAGAATACAAAAATAAATATCAGTCTGATAAATCCAAATGTAATGCACTTAACTTATGGAGCTCTTTCCGTAGCTGAATCCCAGTAGGACTGGAGTAGTTACCTGCCTCCACCTGCCACCCCTTTTATTCCAAGTTACAGCTGACTCAGGTCAAATGTTTTCTAATTACTTTTTTTTTTGTACTGTGTCAGAAGCCTTCACATTGCAAGTTCAATTATTTTGTTTCTATTTTCATAGAATGCCTTTAAGTTGGCATTCATGATATCTATCATAATTCTTTTGTGTGTGCTTGTGTGCCATGAGATATTCTTATGATCAAAATTGAAGTGAACTTGTAACAGTTGGAAACCGATGAGTGACTTTTTTCTGAACATCACTTGCTTCAGTTTCTTTCAGTTGCTACAGTACAGAGCAGGGCTTATTATAGGATGTATCAACAACACCAAAGAAAAGAAGATTAAGATGAGAAGTCACTTAGTGCCTAGTGCGCTCAATAATACTGTTTTCTCATTACAACTTACCCAGAGATAAACTTAAGAAAAAGTTTAATAATCTTTACACAATTAAAGCCATTCAGGAGAATAATGGAGATCTAGGAAGGCTTATTTCCTTAATAATGTTTTATCACAGGGACTTTGTGCATGATAATATATGGATGCCAATAATATGAGGAGACAAAGACATATCCAATGAGCACTTTGTATTTAGTTGGGGAAGAGGAATTTTCCGTAACAATCTTATTTTTAAATGGATAGTGTAAGCTAGCCATGGTAGTGTATGCTTGTAATCTCAGCTCTTGGGAGGCTAAGGCAGTAATATCTCAAGTTCAAGGTCAGTCTGGTCTCATACTGAGAGACTTTTTATAAAAGGGGGGTCAGTTATTGCACCAGAAGACAGGTAATATAGAAATGAGACTGAGTCATGGTTGATGGGAGTGCTTCACCCTAAGAGATTAACTTTATCACGGCTTTAAGACTCAGGGAACACTGTAGAAAAGGAGTCATAGATAATAAATGAGCTAGAAGATGCACACGTATGTTACAAAATATGTCTTCTGGATGTGACGTGGTGATGCATTCATAAAGTGACTACATTTAAGGATGGAGAGCTGCATAAGCCCTGCACAGAACAGGGGCCATTAGTGGATCCATCACAGACCAGGTCCTATCTCTCCCTGAGGAACTATTGGCAATTAATGTCTACTGAGGAAGGGGTGTCACGCCATATTCTTCTGTTGCAGGGTAGAAAAACATCAGATACTCTGTACACGTTTCTTTCTCTTGGATCCCAGAAATTTCTCCTTCTTAGTGGAATCTGTCTGCAGGATTTATGGGTATGAAAAATTTTTTAAAATGTAAAAAGTTTACCTTTATTGTGATGTAGGGTCCAGTACTGGATTGCCTACAGAAGGCCTCAATGGTACAAGCAACATGAAGTCAGAAGATATAAACCAAGCCTGCAACTAGAGCTGAAAAGAAGAAAGTCCAGAACTGGTCTACCATACTGTAAAACTTCAGAGTAACTAAACATGTAGCTCTGTCCTCTGAAAGTCATGTACATTTTAAATTTCTGGAGGTTAAAGCTGAGACTGGGCTTTGGAATGTTGTTCATAATGGAATAAGATTATTAGAGCATGCCATGGCATTGTGTGAATTTTACTCTTGAGACGTGAATGAAGGCCTACAAACTCCAGCTCCAGTACAGATGAATCAAAGATGATTGCACCACTGAAAAGCCTACCCTAGTCTAGGTGATAACTTGCAACACTTGCACAACTGGAGTGCCACATATGACTTGCAGACAGTTTGTCAAGTCAGAGTATTCTCTTTCCTGCCATGCCATGCTACCCTAACATAGCATATACCCCAGACATAACATGCTCTGTGTTTCAAGAATTTCTGAAATTTTAAGTCATTTCCTTCCTGAGGCTTGCAAGTTACAACTAGTTTCTGAATCTTAATGAGCCTAACCCCAGGAGGTATGTCAGTTAGGAGGAAAATGAAGCACAACAGATGTTGGTGATGAACATTTAAAGTATGATTATAGATCTACCACTTCAATGCTGACTGATGCACCTTGGCTCCCATTCCATTCTCCATGACTCTATATCTCATTGTGACAAGTAAGGAAATGACAAAAACTGGTTGCATGTACTTAGTTGTCTATTCTTCATATTCAGTAGGTAAGGAGTACTTTCCTTTCCCCAGGAGATCATCAAGTAGATGGGGAAGGAAACAGGGTGAGGCAGGCTTTACTTGGTTCTGGCTAACTATCCTTTAATGTGAAAATATAAATTAACATAAAAATGATTTCAGAAAGGAAGGGACAGTGTAGAAGAGGAGGTGAGAGATAGGAATAACTTCAAAAAAACAAGATCAATTTTCTGACAGTGGGGACTTTTCTAGTTTCCATCTTCCTCTTTCTCATGAATAGGAACTCCTGGAAACTCGAATATAGATTGATCATTATTACATTTATTTATGTGTGTGGGAATGCATGCATGTGTAGGGATCAGAAGACAATTCTTGGGAGTTAGTTTTCTCTCCCACGTGAGTTCCAGGTATCAAATTCAGGTTGTCAGTCTCAGCTGCAGGTACTTTTATCCACTGAGATATCTTACCAGGCCCAGATTAGAGATGTCAGTTGCAAGAGAGGTGGTGGGAGGAGGGGGGTTGAAGAAGAGAGAAGAGAGGCAGACTGGGGCAAAGAAGAGGAGTTTATACTATTTATATCAGTACTTTTCATGTGAACTGTGGGAAATCATATTAAAAGGCAGATTCATAGTCAGTAGTTGTGGGATGTTTAAAAATAAGAAATTTCACAGGTTTGTGGAGCTGAAGGAATTACCTTTCAGAAGAGTGGTATTAGCAGAGCTCACAAATAGGGATAGAGTGATCCTGAAGGTAAAGATCCCTGAGGTGGATGCTGCCACATTCCTGGAACAAAGAGAGAACTGAGTGGCTGGAGGACCTGTAACCTAACGGGGTGAAGAGAACTAGAAGAAAGATTCAAACATTGGACAGTCTTCATGTCTGTGGAGGGCTTATAGAATCATTCTGCAAGTGGTCACTGAAGACCTGACATGGGATGGACCCTGAAGATTCATCTATGAAACTCAGAGCTAAGAACTCAGTAGTATAACTTACTTTCCAGTATGAAAATACATGAATGAGTTTTTGTTTGCTAATTAAATACTGTCTTTGTTTTACAAACTTCATAGTCCTGCTGACTAATTCTCAGTGTAGGAAAATGTGCCTACTTAAAGTAACTTTGTTCCAAAGCATCTGTTATAAACACAGTTCTCCTGAATATAATACAGTCTGAGGATAAGGAAATGGTAATAGAGTTCTGATTGATCCACTTACTACCATTTGTTAGACCTTGGCAGTATGTCTGATCAATTTAAACTCAAGGTTTCCAACACTAGCAAGAAGGAAGAAGACTTAGAGGAAAAGAAGAGAAGGAGGAGAGAGAAGATGAAGAGAAAAAAGGGAAGATGATAGGAGGGGGTCAGGGGAGAAACAGGATGGAAGAGAGAGGGGAGGGAATAAGGAGG